GAGGGGCGAGGAGGCCACCGCGGGGGACGACGGGAGGGGTGGGGCAGGGGCGTCGCCAGCTTGACGGCGTCGTGCCACTACTCGTCGTTGTTGTTGGTGGAGAGCACACTCATAGAGCACGGGCGGCCTTGGGGGCTCGTGTGAGGGGGGAAGGAGGGGGGGGAGGGGGGCTCGCGAATGCCGCCGCCGCCGCCCATCCGCCCGCGCGCGCTGGACCTGCAGCGGCGGCGGCGTACAGGTCGGTACTACTCATGTGGTCACGCGTGCCACTCGTCATGGTCGCCACCTTTGTGGACTTCACTGCGAGCGTAGGGTTGGTAATTTCCAAAATTTTCCGAAAACTTTCCGAAAATATACGGAAAACTTTACAAAATCTGCGAAATTTTTCATTTTTTCCCGGAAATTTTCCGTCTTTTCCAGAAATTTTCCAGAAATTTTCTGGAAACTTTCCAGGGCTTCCAACCCTATGTGGGCGCTAGGCGCGCACAGAGTGATTTAATTTTTCGTAAAATAGGACTTTATGGATATTGTCAAGAATTTTTATCCTCCGTTAAGGTTTTATTTTTGAAGTTCTAATTTCACGCAATTTGTTTCTGGAAAAGTTTCAAATTTTTCTGTCAAAAATTTTGGGGGTCTTTAAAATCTGTCAACAATAGCAACTACAGTATATACTCACTGGCCGAAGGACGCGCTGTCGCTGCCGCTACGCATGCCGACCTGTAACACAAAGAGAAGAGGGTCAGTGAGTCCACGACGATGGTGCACGCGACCCTGCCGCCCATGGGGGCACCCGCGCGAGCACCCCCCGGGGGGCCACGCCCAGCCGGTGACGACAAGGTCACGGGCGTGGGCGTGGGAGTCATCACTACTTCCGAGAGAGAGAGAGAGAGAGAGAGAGAGAGAGAGAGAGAGAGAGAGAGAGAGATGCCGCCCGCAACGATAGCATCGACGGCGAAACGGAACGATGTGGGCGCATGGACGATAGCATCGATGCGACGCCGCCGACCCCCAGCCCCAGGGGAGGAGGTTATTTCTCTCTCCTCACACCACGGGCCTCTCATCTCCAAATAATGAATTACTTTATCGCCGACTCGTTTCCCGCGCCTGCTATCCCCAAACCCCATGAGCAGGGACCGGGTGAGGGCGCGGCTGCGAGTAACATGACCTCCCAGCAGAGAGAGAGAGAGAGACGCTACTAGCTGAAAGGCGTAGCGCAGCCCGCGGCCTGCTGGTGCTGGTCTCTCTAATGTGTTCCGTTCCTCCGTTTCTGTTCTGCCACGTGCTAAACAGAGCCAATGGATCTTTTCCGCCGCCGCATTTCGGGACAGATAATTGGGAAGGGGTTGGGTGGATAAAGGA